ACAACTGAACTTTTACTTTCTCCATGAACCCATCCCCAGTTAACTTATACCCCTTGTTTCGCTCAGATTGTAAGCTCTCATGAGCAGGGCCTACTAACCCTTTTGTGGTGAATTGTATTGTCTCCCTTTATACTGGAAAGCGCCGTGCTATATAAATCCCGTATAATAATAATAATAATTTGTTTTAAGAGTGCCTTGATGTAGGCATGGTTTTCAGAAGCGTGAAATAGAGACATTGCTTTTTAAATATTAGAAATGGGTATAAGCTAGGTCCCCTTTACTGGCTATCAGAACACTGGGGAAGTCTGTATTTTGACCCACCACTAATGTTATATCCAAGATACTTTATAACATGCTGCAATGCTGCATTTCTTAAATTAACCAAGGCCAGTAGTGTCCCCTAATGTTTTCTTTATTCAGAGGAGCATGGCATTTAAAAACAAGCAAAAATTCAGACCTACTCAGCCATGAGGCTGCTGGTTCTACAGACGGCAACTACAGACTGAATTTGCAGGCCCAGGTCACAAGATACAATGGCACAGGACATGGATTTCTCAGGCATATCTCCACGTCACCTGATTCAATGCATTCCAAGCTTATATGTGACAAAGCTAGCACAGGACCTTATAAATGATAAACTAATTTTGTGTCAGACAGAAACCAAAACTGATGGTTGCACACACTATATAATGCGGTGGAAGATTGATAGTGGATTCTGAGTGGCTCACCATCAGTCACAGAGGTTGCCTGGGTGCTATTAGCTAGTGCAACAAGGTGAACAGACCTACATCTAAAAGGAAAACTTTACTGAACAGCACTTAGGCAACCAAGCAGAACCGCTAGCTCACTGCCTGACCCTCATGCTTAAAGGAGAACTATGGGGTTAGGGCTTTTCCCCATAGTTCTCCTAAGGGTAACGGGAGGACACAAAACAGCGTCCTCCCGTCACCAAAGCTCAGTATACTGCGAGCTACAGCTCGCAGTATACTGAGACGCCCAGCTGCGTGAGTGACAGCTGGCTCTGCCTATCTAGAGGCAGAGCCAGCTGTACCCACCCCCTCCCCCATCCGTTCCGCCAGACAGCGCTGGAGGATCAGACAGGGGAGGGGGGAATCCAGTGCCTCCCCTGTCACGGCTCTCTGCCGGCACAGGATCGAGAAGTGAGCGAGCGCCGGTATGTGTTCGCTCACTTCCCGATCTACTGAGCCAACCTGCGAGTTTCATTGTCACAGGTCGGCTCAGATTATGAGGCTGAGTGAAAATCACTCACCTCATAATTCTCCTTTAAAGCAAAGTTCCAGCTAAAAGAATAATAATTAAAAAAAGAATGGTTAAAGTTCAGCTCTGTTGTAAATGCTTCTGCGTCACTGACCCCATATAAGCATTCAGATCAGGAATTCTGACTTTACCTTCCTATATTCTATTTCAGGTCAGTGCCTCAGAAACCGCTAAAACCAGGGACAGTCCTGCATACAGTATTCTTGGATGAAAGTCAGCAACTGCAGGTCATGCCAATACGGACTCCACCTTCTGTACTCGCAGAGCTACTTTGAAGGACAGTTAAGGAGGAAAGTCACAGCCTGTCCTGCTTTCTGTGACTTTAGAATGAACGGAAATGTACAAATAGATCATGAGTGATACATGTAGCTGTTTGGATGGGGTTCCACTTTAACTTTCCATTTTATCTTCAAACAAGGGAGGGCACAGAGTGTGAGAACTGAACTGCAGGTGGATGAAAGCGGGTGAACAACGTGCTCTGGTACTGAGAGTTCTTTTCTGGGCCTGTACAAAATAATCTGTGTAACTGTTTAACACACATTTATGGAAGCCTGGGGGTTATTGGCAAAAACTCCCTTCTCCACTCATGAATGGAATGCGGGTCACGTGTGAATCTCATGTGACTGCAATAGGACAAGCCAACAAACAGCAAGCTACACTAGTGTCCGTCACTTCATAATATTTACTTTACAGAAAAGATCTTAGCGTATCATTAAAATGTGCAAATAGGATTGTGTCCCAATATTACTATAAAGAATTGTGAAAGTTTGGTTGCATCTAAAATCATTCAATGCTTCGCTGTTTTGGAATGCCCACAGTGACCTCCAACAGGATTCATGGCAGGAAGTCAGCTGGTTGCACGAGAAAAAAAAACAATTAAGCCCTGGATTTATATTTCTCTTTTTTTCAGGGGAAAACCAGATCTGAAGGGTACCACCTTCACAGACAGAAACAGAGGAGCCTACAAAACAAAGGTGTGTCGGGTTTTATCATTGTCTGTTCTGTTGCATCGCATTGGATCCCCAGAACAACGATTAGCTTCAAGCCAAACTTCAGATTGGGTGGACTTCCACCACTGGAGCTCCCCATGAGACTTATTTATTTCTGTATATGTACCTTTATTGGCGCTTTCTTCAGCCCATGGCACCTAGGGGTCATCCTTCCTCGTCTGTTGCAGCAGTGGGTTGTTCTTGTCGCACAGAACATTACCTCGTAATGACACAAGCACTGTGCTTCATATCATTCTCCCATGAGCCCAGGTTGGCTTAATAACATACACCCAGGGGGGCATATGCTCCCCAAAAATGAGTTGAAGGTCGTTGAGCACCATTTAACCTGCATCAGTTTTTTCTTATATATCCATAATACTTCTACAGTAGACAAAAACACTAATGTCTCATCCGGCTTTGCAAGTAAGGGAAATATTTTGGTACGACACTGCATTTTATAGACGTGTCATTACTATCTACAGCTATGAGGTGATTCTCATCCCCCTCCTGGCCAGTAAAAGGTCAGATTCAGAAATTTTATTTTTATGGTGTATGCAGTCATGCCTGGGTCAACCAATTTCCAGGCCATCTTACACCAAAAAAAACACATGTCTGTGGACAGCCTTACAACTATACAGGCAGCAAAGCGTGTGCATGGAAACAGCAGCAGTGTGATAACATCTTTCTGTTAATGAACAATGCCGCTGCTTCCTCTTACCACACAAGGCAGCCTATAAATAGACAAAGAAAGCAAGGACGAAACTGCTGCCACCTACTGGAGTATTAATAGATTGTCAGATAACCAGCAGACACAAATGGCAGCAGGCCAAGGCCCTTATAACCTGTAACACCATGGAGTAAGCTAAATAGCACTTCCACAGATTTGCTTTCAGCTACTATCACACTCAAGTAATGACTCTTTACTGACAAAGTAACCCTTGTCTGAAAACAATACAAAGCAATATGTTTGACATTTCAGAATGCTAGAGTCACAACAACTAATCGGCATAATCGATTGAAAAAGTGGTCAACCTTTTCAATCATCGATTAATCGTCTTCCAATTAGTTGGCCCTGTTCACAGCTCCACACACGCTGCAGGGCCGCACCTCCTCCCCACCTCACGCTCACCGCTGCCAGACCCGCCCGCATCCACGCTCCACATGCCGCACCTCCTGCCTCACCACCCGACCAACATCCACGATCGGCACAGGGACGCAGGGAGGAAGTAAGGAGGAGGAGCAGGTGTGGGAGGATGACAGCCGCCGATAGACAGGTCCGATCTCAGAAGCAAGTTGCTGGAAGACTGCTCAGGTAAGCCTGCACTTTCCCCCACATGGTGCTCTATAATGTATTGCTGGGATATTGGGATTTGTAGTCCTCTATAGCTGATGGTACATTGTGCTTGTATTTCTATATAGCTGGTGGTATTCTGCATTGCGCTATATAGAGGACTACAAATCCCAGCAATACATTATACAGCGCAATGCGGAATACCACCATCTATAGAGGACTACAAAACCCAGTAATAGTACATTATACAGTGGTGCAATGCCGAATACCACTAGCTATAGGGGGACTGGAAAAACCCTGCAATGTAATAATGTACTATTGCTGGGATTTGTTGTATTCCTATATAGCTGCTGGTGTTTTGCATTGTGCTTTATAATGTACTATTGCTGGGTTTTGTAGTCCTCTATAGCCGGTGCCATTCTGCATTCATTGCTCTATAATTTTACACTTTTAATTTCACTATATTGCACAACACAATTTTTTTTTCTTTTTTTACTTCCACCGCTCCAAGCTTGCTCCTGTGATGGACTACAACCTCAATACAAACTAGTAGTCCCATTACTGGAGCCATTTTTAAAAAATTTATTTTATTTTACCCGATTAATCGAACTTAATAATCAGCTAACTAATCGATTTTGAAAATAATCGTTAGCTGCAGCTCTATTCCTTACATTCCATGTATAGTTTTTCTAGACAACAGAGTGTATGGTGACAAGTGTCAGTCAGTGCAGTAAGCAAAAAGCCTAAAAACTGGCCATACACCTATAGATTATCTGCATATTTTCTATGCTCAGATGGAAAAAGTGCAACAGATTCCTCCATCTACACTAAACTGTGTGGATGGAGGAATCTCCCATTGGGCCAAGTATCTTCTAGTCGGCCCCGCTGGCTCTCAAAATACCTGAACACTCTGATTGGATGCAGGCATTGCTCAGGCAGACTAGCAAGATACTGAAGCTTGGTCCAGTGGGAGATTCCTCCATCCACACAGTTTAGCGTAGATGGAGGAATCTGTTGCATTTTTTCCTTCTGACCACAGAAAATCTGCAGATAATCTATAGGTGCATGGCCAGCTTTACAGAGACCCTGAAATTGAGGACTTCCTAATCAAATAGTGTCTAGCTGTCTATACTTCTGAGTCAATTACTGAACTACTGATCTGCATAGTTCGGAGACACAATATATCAGTGTGAAGAACAACATATAAAAACACAGTAATAAAATAAATGCCATGTGTATGTTATTACCTGTATCTGGTTGAATCCAAGTAAAAAAAACATGAAAAACACTACTTTAATGCAATATACTAAGTATCATAATAAGAGAACGACTGAGCACGAAGGACAGATATTTTGGAATATTTATTCCTTCTATTTTTTCTTACGAACCACTCAGTGGGACCATCTCTGTCGATGTGGCAGAAGCAGTGAGAAGACACTTACACTTGTGACACGGCGGTAGATCTGCGCAGCATTTTGGCACTCGGAGTAAGGGTATTCAGAAGTGGCCATCTCAAGCATGCACATCCCAAAAGCATACACGTCTACCGATTCATCGTATTTCTCCTCATACATCTCTGGCGCCATGAACTCAGGGGTACCTTAAATTAAAAGAACGGTTCAGAGACTCTAAATTTTCTGATATCGAGCAGGATGCTGGAGGCGCTACTCACCGCGACAGAGTTCGGGGCGGGTGACCTGTGAGACAGAGAGCGGGGGCAAAGAAAAAAAGGAGGAGAGCTTCTTAGTCAGACTGTAAAGAAAATGTGATTAAAAAGTCTTCCATTGCAAGGCATCGGATTTGGGGGAGGTTGGGATAAATTGGCTGCGGAGTACATCAAGGCTAAACTATGGTAGCACAACAACCATATCTTTCTTGGGATAGGCTGAATTGATCATTTTCTTCCATCGCCAAGTAAATGGAGAGATGCAATGAGCTGTCTTGCCCGTTACCTGCTACAGCATCTACAAAACAGCAATATAAAAAAAGGCTCATTCTAATAATGGCACATACCTGGAAGACGACATCGCCACCTGCTGTTGGAAGGAAGGACTAGTTAGTCAGACTAGCTTGATGCACAACTTTCCATTCACCTGGATGGGCCGGAGTCGGAGGGGGTTGAAACCTTGCAATGGAAAACTGCCACGCGTCCAGCTAGCACAGATCATGGAAATTCAAAATGGTTTTCTGCAAAAGCCCACTCACCAGATACCTTCTCTTCACATACTTACGGTGTGAACTGCAGTACACACTAATGGCCTACTGCAGCCAACATGGTGAGCCATGGCCTACAGGCAGAAAAACACTCAGAAATACAGAGAAGTAGTCAGGATGAGCTGTATAACCAAGGGTGCTGCTGCTGTTTCCTATGTGTTATAAATGGAAGAGG